TGACTCTTGTAGAAAGCCTGGAAATGGACAGCATTTATATATATATTAAAAAAAACCCACAGAATATTACAATATGCTGCTAATTTTCATGAAATTAAGGAAGGTGTATGAAGGGACCCTTTCTGAGGAGACCTTTTTCTGTTCTCTCCATGAAGTCCTTTAAATGAGGACAAACGTGCTTCTAAGTTCGTTTAGAAGTGGTGAAATCCAGACTGCATCACCGTTCTGCCGGGAGCTCTATAATCTCTCGTGACCTTTGGTTTAAGAGAGTTGTGTGATGATCGCTGGTGGGGAGCAGAGGAGTCAAAGCCTCAGCTAATCCTCTAGAGCCGAGCAAGGAAAAGAAGTGTCCCCTTTCTTGCTTCCTTGGGAGCACAGAAGAGCAAGAAGAGCACAGCTTGTTGCAGAGGCTTTAGTGCTGCGTTAGCACCGCGTTGGAAACCTGTGTTAGCCCTGCACTGCATCCTGGAAACCCGTTGTGTTTTGGGAGAGCTGGGCTGTCACCAGCGAGAGCAGCGCTGTGGCGCCCAGCTCTCCGCAGCCTCTGGCTGGAATTCCCTCCCATCCCCTTCCCTCCTTCTTTGTGCCTAACTACCTCCCAGGGGACTAACTCCGCTTAAACTCAGGGCCAGAAAGACAACTAAAACACACAGACAGGAACTGGGCTTTTGCATCTTGTGGTGGCTGATAATAAACATGTGCTGTGCTCTCTGCAAGTGAGGATCTGCAAACAAACCTCTGCACCCTCTTTTGCTGTTCACGTGCTCAGGGAGGCAGGGTTACATAAATTATTAGAACTCTAATACTCTTTAAAGCTTAAAGGGACTTTCCTTCCGAGGCATTTCTTCTAAAAGGAAAAAATCGAGTAAGACTTTGCTGCAAATCTGTTATCTTGTAGTATCTTGTAATGGAGCYGCCTTAGTTGAATCTACYAGCTTGTAATGGAGCTGCCTTAGTTGACAGGAAGCATAGTAAGGTTGTATTTACAGTGATAACTGCGTGTTGTGGGGCAGACTGTGCAGCTGTGGTGGCTCCAGTCAAACAGAAGACAGGGTTTGAGCTTGTTCATGTATGTAATCTTTTGGTTCTTTACCTTACACTTAAGGGCTCTGATGGAATGGGCTGAGGGAGCATGGACACCGTGAACCGTCTRCATCTACTTGACTCATTATTTCAGATGAATGTAGAAAATGGTGAATTATTTTGTCCTTAAAGCTGACGCATCTCCCTTATACTTGCATCTGCAGCAGGAGAAATACACGGTGTTTCTTGAAATACAATATATCATTGTGTGAAACAGTTGATAGTTAGCTGACCACTCTGTTTAATATTAAACTGCTACAGGTGTGGTAGCTCTTGCTTTCTTCCTTCTCTTYCCCTGCTTGCAGTGTTGGCATTGGTTCGTTGCTCCAGGAGAGTGAGCTCAGCTGATTTTTATGGCTGTTGGTGCCCTGAGGGAGGGGAAGACTGTGCAAAGCTGAGACAAATGTAGGTTTGAGGTAAGCAGGTATGCAGAATCCAACATAGGGAAGCAGGATGCTGCAAGACAAAAACTGCGTGCCRGTGTCTGAGACGTGCACGTATTGCTCCTCTCTGCTCCTTTTACTGCTGGTTCAGGACCTAGAGATCTGCTAGAGGTGAGCAATTCAGTAGATGTTCTCCAGAAGATGTTGCAATTCGGTGCTGAAGGGCACCAATCCCACAGGTATGAATATGCACAAGTGCCTAGGCCTGGGAACACACTTTTCTTGCTTATTTCCTTTCTTGGCAGCTGCCTTAATGACAAAAAAGCCTTTTAAGTTTGTGTGCCTACCCTCTCTGCTGCTTTTAATGTCACTGTGTCAGGCAGCCAAGTCTTGTAGATCTTCAGGTGTATGTGAGTCTCTGAACTGACAACTAGTGGGATTTAGAGGAATGGGGAGTGACTTGGAAAATATTTAATAGAAAAGGCCCTTAGTGTCAGTGATTTAGGAGCCTTTAAAAAACTAACTATTCCCTCAGCAGGCTATAGACCCAAGCAGGTTGTGGAGAACGCTCATCCAGTAGGAACCGGCCGCGCATCGCTGTGTCTGCGGTGGCATGTCCTGGCTGACTAAGACTCCTTTCCTCGTGGACTAGTGGGAAAGTCTTGTTAGGACATGAACACATACCAAAAAGCACTGGAGAAGGTTTTGGGATCCTTGGTGCTTCTGGGGAGAGCTGCTGAAAATGCAGCGTTGCGGCCTGTGAGCTGTCCTGCCATGGGGAGCCTCCTGCCTACGTCGCAGTAAGCCTGGGGGACAGCAGCTGAGGGGACAGAGTTCATCTGCAACCTCGTGTCTGGCCGCTGACCACGTTGCAAGCCAAGCCTTTGTCCTAAGGAAGCCTAAAAGGCAGCTCCAGGCTTGGCTGAGCTCCAGGGAAGCCGCATGCGCTCCCGGTTGCCTTTGCGTCCCCGCTCGTGCTGTCGCTCCCCAGCCCTCTGTGACAGACAGAGCAGCAGCAGCAGCACTGTGAGTAACCAAAGACAGGGCTTGGGCAACTCTGATAAGGGAGAAGAGTGTTCTGCAGGTGGGAATTCCCTCTGAGCCAGCCCACCTGGTTGCACTGCAGTTACCTTGTGGAGTGGTTCCAGAACCTGCATGTAGGATTTCAGCCGGATTGCTCCAGCTCCTGAACTGTTCTTGTACCTATTGATGCAAAACTCTCGCCCTGGCTGCAAGCAGTAGAACTGCTAGAGATGCTGTCATCATTTGGATGTATACCAGAGTGGGGAAAAAGCAAAACACCCAAAACTTAAAGAATGTATGAAAGGCTGGTGGAGGTAAAAGTTTCTSTCTGCTGCAGTTGGGCAGATGTGACCTCAGAGTTTTCACAAGTTGTATCAGATTGTGAATGATAAGAAATGGAAGCGTTATCCTGATTTGATATTTGATATTTTTTTCCTTGCATTGCTGACCTGCCAGATGTGCAGAATTTTACAGCAAAAGCCACACCATGTGAGTGAGAAGACAATCTAAGTAGCTGTGGTTATGGTTTCTATGAGGCTATAGAGGTTGTCATCTCTCTGTTGCTKGTTTTTCCTCGCTTTTCCTTCTTTTCTTTTTTCCTGCTATGTTGCCAAGGCAGAACTTARGCAAACAGAATCAAGAGAGTGAAGGCAGATACAGTGGTTTGAATATTAACTGGTTGTTGATGGTTGTAGACTTGAGCTGTTAGGAATGAAACTCAGCGCTAAGCCTGTAGGCAGCAGTTGGATGGATCCCCCAGGCTCAGGCTGCTCTGCGCCTTGATGCTCCTTCCTCTAAGAGGTTCCCTCTTTTTTCAGGGGAAGTGAAGAGTTCCGACCCGCTGCAGCCCTAGGTGAGGTGCTGCGGTCGGTGTGACAGTCTCGTGGGGGGACAGAGTGCCGGGGTGCAGGGCCCTGGGTCCCCCGGCCTGCGAGGCCCTCTCGGGCTGCGAGCAAAGCCTTGGAAAGGAGAGCTGCAAGGAAACCAAAGGAAGCTGAGGGAGATTGGCCAACTGCCCAGGCTAGTGAACGAATTGGGAAGCAAGAGTTGCATCAGGTCGGACTGCTGAACTGCCGTGCCGCTTCCCGTGCTCCGGAGCAGAGCGGTGCAGGGGCCKGTGTGCCCGTTCCCAGCCTGGGGTGCCTGAAGCCCGGCACCTTCCCGGGTCTCCTCCCAAAGAGAAATGAGTGTTTTTCTGTATCGCGCTTCCGGGGCAGCGAGCCTGGCTCCCAAGCCTATAGCGCTTATACGCAGAAAAATGCCCAGGGAGAAGATGTACAAATTCAATAGTGTTTTTTATGTTTTCTGAACATTGTGAGGGTCCCCAGTGGATCAAATAATAACCCCATGACACCTGGTTAGGGCTCGAACCCTTTAGGACCTCGAGCGTGCGGCGGAGCCGCGTCTCGGCGCTGTGCCGCATCCCAGGGCTCTCCTGCCTCTCCCATCTGCCTTTCCCGGGTGTGTGCGGGGCTGCGGAGGCGGCTCCCGGGAAGCCACGGTCGCCCTCCCGCCTGGCGCTGCCGGGGTCGAGGCTCGGCAGCTGCCGTGGGCGCTCCTGCCTCGCCAGGGCAAGCACGTTGTCTGCAAAGCTTGCACGCAGGACAGAATCTGTCAAAAATCCCCCTTCTTATTTTATTGTTTCAAGGGTAAGCTCCTGTGCTTGTTGCTGGTCAACGTCCTTATGTGACTCTCTCTTCCTTGCTATAAACCACTTCTAAGTGTGAGCGCTGCCCAGCCTGGCTTTGTGGGTGCTCTCCAAGCCCGTGGTTTATCGCTGAGCAGAGACTTGCAGACTTACTGCTCAGGACACAAGCGCTCACAGGGGGCTGCTCTGGGGCCTGCACCTCGGTCTGCTCTCTGATCCCCTCCGTGTGCGAGGAGGAGGAGGAGGAGGGTTTCACAGGTGCTGCGGACTGTACTCACGGTGTGGGCGGCTCYGGAGCTCCCTGCTAGGCTGGACCTCCCATTTGGTTCCAGCAGGGATCTTGTGCCGAGCCACATCGGTATCTCTGAGGCTGGTACTCGGCATCGTACTCACATTTGTATATGGCATTTGTATGTATGTATAGGTACTGTAACTGTGTATTTGTGTATATGTGTATGGCATKCGTATATTTGTATATAAATTCATATTTGCATACGAGTGCTATTTTGATGAGTGTTCACGAGGGGGCAGCGTAGAACCCGCTCTCCCAACATCTTGGTGATGCTGCCTTTACTGCCCTCTTTTCCTCCTGGAGRAGAAACCGAGTCCCGTTTTGCCCGGTGTGTCTGGGAAGCTGAGCTCCAACTCCTGGCTGGGTCCTGGTACCGTGTGTTGCAGTAGAGGTTTCCCTGGATTTCGTTGCTCTGATTATTCTTCAAACAGTTTTCTGGCAGGCTCTCCTGTACAATTCTGTAATATATAATGCCATTAATGTAAGCAGATCAATGCTTATAATATTCCCTGTGTATAAAGCACACTTTCATTTGGGGTTTTCTTTTTGTTTTCCCCTCTTCCTCCTTTAGGTCGACCCCAAGGACTACACGTTMGCCGGACTTAAAGGCGAGACTGTGGGCCGCCTGCCTGGCAAGGTGGCAGGGCAGCAGTTTGTCATTCAGGACTGCGAGGACTGCAGCATCTACGTGTTCGACCATTCCGCCACCATCACCATTGACGACTGCACGAACTGCCAGCTCTTCCTGGGCCCCGTCAAGGGCAGCGTTTTCTTCCGCGACTGCAAGGACTGCCGCTGCGTGGTGGCCTGCCAGCAGTTCCGCAGCCGGGACTGCCGGCGGCTGGACGTGTTCCTGTGCTGCGCCACGCAGCCCATCATCGAGGCCTCCGCCGCCATGAGGTTCGCCTGCTTCCAGTACTACTACCCCGAGCTGGCGGCGCAGTTCCGCGACGCCGGCCTGAGCATCTTCAACAACACGTGGAGCAACATCCACGACTTCACGCCGCTTGCCGGCGAGAACAACTGGGGGCTCCTGCCCGAGAACGCGCCCGTCGAGGACTACGTTGCCCTGCCGAGCACGGAGGAGCTCAGYGGCGTGCGGGTGTGCACGGAGGCCGCGAGGAGCCTCGTGCCCGTGACGCGGGGCCGGCGGCACCGGCGCAGCGACGAGTCCTGCTTGGTGGTGTTCTTTGCCGGGGACTACACGACCGCCAACGCCAGGAAGTTGATCGATGAGGTGAGTGGCCTTGGCCTGGGTTTAGCTGCTTGGATTTCCTATCCAGCTTCCCTCTGGATAAACTTGGGGCTTGTTGTGGTGAACGTGCTGAGCTTCTGCACATCCACCAGCTACTCTAATCGACTGCCTTTTTTGTTTTTTTTTTTCTTTTTTCTTTTAAGCTTCAGTATAAGGTAAGAGAATGGAGCTAATTTGATTAAAAGAGTAATTTTAAAGCTGGCGTTTAATGATTGGTATGTATTTATAGTATATTTTTTCGAGCACCGCACACCAAAACTGTACTGCAGGAAGCATATTGTTGAGCCATGAACTTGGACAAAATGAAAATAAATGATCAGCAGTCCCTATAAAAGGAATGTAGCTATTTTACTCATTGGTTTATTGGCCCTGAAGTCRCAGCTAGCAAGGCAGTCTGGCCTGAGAGTCTTACGAATGTTAGCAGAGGCTGGGAGACTTTGAAGAATGATCTGCAAAATGTTGACCCCCTTGCCATCCAGTGCTGCAGTTCTCCTCTGATAGGGGCAACATCTGGAATATTTGGCAYGGTTGCTCTGCTGTCTTGGATTACCTGGGATAGCTGGTGGAGCTCCCCTGTTGGGCTGCGTTGGGGCTTTACTGAGGCTAGAATCCAGTGGGGCTGATCTCAACTCCGTGGGGAGAGGAGAGAAGACCAGGAATTAAGAGCTGCAGTCTCTGACAGAGGTACCCGCAGAAGCTGCTGATCCCGGTGTCGTGTTAAAYGGAGCAGCTGCCAGAGCTCCTTCCCTTGGATTTTTAACAACTCCTTGGGGAGAAGGGAAAAAAATGTCTAGTTGTTCCCCTCCAGTTTTTCCAGTGGAGCGSAGATACTAAAAAGTGTATGAGTGAAGGGAGATACCTGCGTCTCCCTTCACCTGTGTGGTGTCTTTTGTTTGTTTCTTAGGAAGGAAYAGTTACAGGAAAGAAGATACGGGACACAGTCCCTTGTACTCACTGCTCTTCAATGAATATGGGTTATGAAGACTCTTAACTAGCTAGTGAAGTGCTAGGGAAGCCTCTCCTGCTCTATAGRGTACAGCTGTAGTTCTGCCTTTTCCATGTGATTTTTGGTTTCCTCCTAGATTTGAAATAAAAGCTCTGTGTTTAAAAAAATCTTTTTTTTTTCATTTTTCAAAATAGAAAACCCCAGGCATGCATGGGTGAGTCTGATCTGGTGCTTGACTGAACTATTGCAGACTAATGAGAACTAACTGCCTGGCTCCAGATGCTGGGTGCTTTTAACTCCCACCAGCTTCAGCTTGTGAAGGATTGGGGATAAAAATRCAACCCTGGGCTATTGTATAAAAGAGAGAAAATATTCACATTTACTCGTCTAAGTGCAGTAGTACAGAGCAGAAAATCTGGATGAATGGAATGAAAATAAACAGAAGTGCAGAAAGGCAAATGATTTAAAATAAATAAAAAGGTGGTCTCATAGTTTTGTGTGTGCTCAAAATGGGTATATTCYAGTATAAACTGGATAATCAAACTATCTGCCATAGGAACATTTTTTTAACACGAATGCTTTATCTATTAACAGATGACTGGCAAAGACTTTCAGCTGGTACAGACAAAAGAAGTCTTAATGAAAGCAGAGGATGCTCAGAGAGTTTTCCAGCAACGTGCCTCAGAGTTCCTTCCCCTGCTTGAGAAAGGCAAGTCGGCGTATTATAGAATCACAGAATGGTTGAGGTGGGAAAGGACCCCTAGAGAYCATCYAGTCCAACCCCCTGCTCCAGCAGGGACACCCAGAGCAYGGGGCACAGGGCGGCATCCAGGCRGGTTTGGAGACCTCCAGGGAAGGAGACTCCACAACCTCCCTGGGCAGCCTGTKCCAGGGCTCTGGCACCCTCACAGGAAGGAAGTTCTTCCTCACATGSAGATGGAACTGCCYGTGTTGCAACTTACACCCATTGCCCCTTGTCCTGTCGCTGGCCACCACTGAGAAGAGCTTGGCCCCTTCCTCCCTGCATTATTACAGCATTCAGCTCTTTCCTTTCTCCACTACAAGCTAAGTGTCCATATCAGGGAAGTCCTGCAGGTGACAGGAGCGCGAGGGAGAAGTGTGTGTCCCAGGCACCTGGTGTAAAGGCAGCTGGGATGGACCTGGGGAGCTCTGCCCAGGGCTTGGCTGAAGTGGCTGCAGGAACGAGCTGCTCTCTGTGCACCGTGTGGCTCTGATCCCCCTCGCCTGGCTGCGCTGGGCACCCCGGGGCTCTGGCACTTGGGCATCTGTCCACGTGCTCAAAAGAGGCTCGTGGCTCTAGAGCTGAAATTTTTCCAGCTTTTCCTCGTGAACTACCTCGATGTTCAGTTTGCCTGTGTACTTGCTCAAGTAAATATACAGGAATGAAGATGTGAATAATGCAGGCAATGTTAAGTCCTTGTTTATAATTGCTGTCCTGTCAAAACACTTCAGAAGCTTTTTCTTTCATTCGAGTGCAGTCACTTTTTGTCTGTTCCTGTAGGAGCGCTGACATCTCTCCATCTGTTGCATGCTAAAGCCCAGCACGTGCTCCCAAACCTAGCAGCAACGTGCCGCTTTTCCACAGAGAAGGCTGGAGAGTCATTGTGAGAACAGGGCCGAAGTCCCTGTGCTCACGAGCGCGGCACGAGGGGCTGCTGTGGGGGCCCTTTCCCAGCTTCACAGCCGTGTGGCGGGAGCAGCGTGTTCAGAGCGAAAGCAGAGAAAGGGGATGTGGGAGGAGCGGGTGGGCGAGCAGCGGGGCCACCCAAGGCCTCGCCGGCCGCGCGGCTGCGTCCACGGGGCCCTCCACCCCGCAAGGACCTTGTGCCGTTGCCGCCGTCAGGAAGTGAAACTGGAAACGTGCCAGAGCCCCTGCAAAAAAAAAAAAAAAGAAAGAAAAAGAGGGTGGAATGGCAAATATTTTCTTTGGAGATAAGTGCTGCACTTCAGAGCAGTGGTTAAGTGTTTTTAATTCTTTACCCTGCGTTATGGCAGCTCGGGCAAAAAACACGAAATCCAACCTGCAAAAGTCGTAATTGCCTACGGGATGACAAATCCAAGGATTCAAAAATGACGCTTAAAAGTCGTATTCATTCTAACTGAAACTGTCTTTTAGGCCCAGTAGTTGCTTTGGAATTCAACGGAGATGGTGCTGTGGAGGAATGTCAAAGCACTGTGAAGAATGTTTTCAGTGGAACCGAGGTAAGTTGCTGTATTGTTACATGGGCAGGAAATGTCAAAGAACATATCACAGAATAGTTGAAGGTTGGAAGGGACCTCTAGAGATCATCTAGTTCAACCTATGTAGAATACTTCATGTTCAGGCTGTGGTTTGGGTGTACTGAATGCTCTTTTAAAATTCTGAATAGCAAAATGTAAATGTGCTCCTTTTTTTTTTAAATACTTAAAACTCACGTTCCCTTATAGGASATCAAAGAATTTCCCTGGAAAGTGAAAAGAATACTAAATCCCCATATCTATTGAAAAATAAAAATTTGCACTGAAAATTGCTGCCCTTTACGAGAGGGAAAAGCAAGTTGTACAATACAGCAGGACCAACTCTGATGAGAGCCTCATGCTCAAGTCTCCTTTCTAGTGTTCTAGTCTATTAGAGCCTGACAAAAGGGTGATGGGATTTACTTTTGCTATGGAGGATCCTGGAGGATTCCTTCTGAGGTAGACTGCTTCTCTCATCTGGAAGCTTGTTTTACTGTAACTTGCTTTTACTCCCTCTCCAAAGAGGTGGCATTCCTGATGCAGGAGAGTGATTAAACCCTTGGCTTCCAGAGAGCTGTTCAAAGAGACTAGCCCATAATTGTAACACGTAACAAGGAGCTGCTCGTTATCTTTCTATTCCCCTCGAAAGAGGGGAGTTAGTTCATCCAGCTTTTAAAAAAACAGCTCCCTTGTAAGAAGTCATCTCAAATGCAGCTGACACTTGTTTCTTTTTCTTCCTATTTGCTATTCAGTCAGCAAAGGGCTGTTGTGTAACAGGCCTTAATTTGGATCTCTGGATCTGGAGACTGCTTGGAACTACAACCTGGGGAGTCCTGTGATGATATTGATTCTTTCTTATGGCCCAAAAGTCATCACTGCAGGTCGTTATTACAAAAATGGCCTCTTTAAGCAGGAACCTACAGTGCCCTTTTTAGTGAGGTTATTTTTTCTTTATTTTTTTCAGTGAGCTTAGCAATTCACTAATCATTCTCCTTGAAATGAATTTCTCTATTCAAGTGCTGAACTGCTGCTGATTATTAGAACAAGCAGCATTTTATCCTTCTGCTAAAAGGAKTGGAATGTGGTGTTGTAACACTGAATACGGTAGACGTATTTAGAGAGTAAGAAACTTTGGACTTCCTCTTACCAGCAATTTCAGAAGTGCTCTGCAAAATGATGCACCTCATTATCATCTGCCCTTATCCGGCCATAGAGGAAAGAATCATGAGTATCTCTGATCAAGAAACAACTAAAGCTCTTTGGAAGACACTTACCCTGTAAAAATTTGTGAGATAATAATCTGATTTTGAGCAGGTCATTACATGTGCCTTTGAAGCCCCTGGTAGAAGTGGTTGACTCGATCAGTTAGTATGGCGGGGGTTAAAACGAGCTTGCACGATAGCAGAGGTGGAAAACTTCTTCAGCAGCTAATAGAGCAACAGCTTTTAATAGYAGTTAGTAGAGCAACAGCTTTTGGAGCTGCGTGGTAGAAACGGGCTGACTTGTGGGCTTCACACTTGAGTGGACTCTACATCTGCAGACTCTAGAGAGCTCTGCACTCCTTAGCCCTCTAGGTACCTTTCCTCTCAGTTCTCGTGTGTGTGTGTGTGTTATGACTATGGCACAAACCGATGGGACGCCAAGCAACTGCCGAAATACTTAGTAGATATTGTCAAGTCCCGTTGAACAGASGTCTGCCAAGCCTCCAAAGCATAGTCTGGGAAACTGTTTGCTTTGGGTTAACAACTTTTTTTTTTTTTTTTAATACCAAAACATTGCTGGATGGCAGGTTATTCATCTTCAAACAGGGCTTAAGCGAGCAGCCAGAACAGCCCTCCCGATTTGCATCTCTCGGGTGTTCTGAGCTAGGCCAGACAAGCAGTAATTGCGTGGGCTCGGTGATCTGCACTCGCTCCCTGCAGCAGTTCCAGTGCATTTGGAATAGCTCAGTTTGCTGCCAAACACCATGCAAAGAAAGTGAGTTYTGCATCTTGGGGGAAATTAAGCTATTCTGCCAGTCAAGGTTTGGTCAAGGGCAATGCTGGTGTGTTGAGGTTGTGAGCAGGGAGTTTCATGCTGCCTGCCATGTTGAGCTATTTGGGCCATGCACGAMGCATCCCCAGCTACTTTGCTGAGAGATTTCGGGATGATTTTCCAGTGCTTGGAACTTTTACAGAYGTCAGATCAATTCTGCAAAACACAAATGCAATCCATGTTATTTTAGAKAAGAAAAAAAGGCATGTAAGGAACGGGCAGCAGTAAACTTTGGGGAATGTAGTGGAAGTGAATCTTTGTTACAAGCTTTGCATTTCTGTTAAAGGAAAGCTTCGTGGTAGCTTGAAGTGGAATGTATGTATGTATGGTGGTTTATTTATTATTATTATTATTATTATTATTATTATTATTATTATTATTATTTTGGCTCTGGAAAGAGTTTGACTTTACCAAGCAAAATGTACCAGACTGGGTGGTAGCTGAAGCTGTGACCTCTTAATAGTCCAGCCTAAAACTTTTAATTGCTGTCAGGGGAAGGCAAGGTTCCTGCAGCCCCTGTGTCTGCTAAGACAAATCACAGTAACATTGGGGCTCAGAATTCCAGAATCGGCCTAAAACATGCCAGAAGGGAAGAGTTGTGGCTCTTGGGGAACACATGGAAGTAGAAAGAGTCATTGCTGGCTCTGAGCAAACCAAGGCTGCTTGACCTCGTCTATTAGCAATGCGTAACCATTGCCTTGTTCCATGAAACAGGTTTTTGTGTCGGAGAGCAAGGCAGCGGCGTCTCAAGACGTGGACAATTTCTACAACTTTGCTGACATGCAGATGGGCATGTGAAGTGTGACGGGGCGCGTGCGGCGCCTGGACGGCTCTCGCCTCGCACGTGGCCGTGGCACCGAGACGTTCTCTCCTTGGGTTTTGTATCGCTTCTGTATCCCTTTTATAAAAGGTACTGGCGACTTTAATACCGTATTACACGGGCTGCAGCAAATGGGATAGCTCCCATGGACATTGTGCAGTCCAACTCCAGAAGCTACGGAGGCTTTTTTTTTTTTTTTTTTTTTTTTT